AGTGAAAAGTGGGTGATACATTGTACAGTGGCATAATGTGCACCTCTGCCTACCCCTCCGGTGGTAAAAGGCGTGATGTTATGTTACGGTACTGCTCCATACAAAGTTCTGTCCCCATTTTAAAGATGTGACGGTTAGAAAGAGTCATAAAATGTCTGTACATACACAAACTTATTTCTCCTCTCACTCTCCACCCCTTCCACTATCTACACTAAATAGATCACTTTATAGTTGCTCAGTTTTGCAGTGAAAGATGGACAAACAAACAGACAGACACCCACTTATAATATTAGTACGGATGTGTATAATAAAAGGTTTGTAGAATATCCTTATCGGTGCTAAGTCAGAGTTTTGCCCCCACAAATCACTTCTCCGCGCTCTTTATTAGCATGTAGACTATTGTAGACGCAACAGGATATTTTGAGAGGGATGGAGACGTATCGAGGGGCGATGCGTAGGGTTGTCGGAATAAAATTGAAGGATTTACGGATTTTAAGATTGTATTGGGTGGCACGTGTGTCTGTGCTTAAAGATTTTGTTCTTATCGGTTTTGGTTATATATATATATATTGTAAACTTTTATTTCTTTCGTAAATTGTCTTTTATGAGAAAGTTCACAAAACTGTATTCAGTAGATTTGTAAACAAATATTCAATGTCAAGGCATGTAACAGATTTAATTCTTTCGTGCGTCGAGTTACATTTTTCAATAAGTATTTATTCAAAAATATTATAATAGAAGACATTATTGGTAAATTAAGGTTAAACATAACACAATAAATACCTAATCAAAGAAAAACATACCCGAAATACATAACTATGCCTATCAGAACCAAGCAGAAATAAAAACCCTAAGGCAAGCGAATATCTCAAGTAATCCATGCGTAACAATAATCACATGGAAATCCTTCGACAGCCCTATATGTATGCTCCCTCTTAATGTGTTTACAAGACAGTATCGATTGTTCCATTGTACGTTTTATTTGACTTGGAAATTTTCTTGTACCTTTTACACGCGTAGACATTTCTTTATGTTTATTTTTTCATTATTTTTTCCCTTTTTTATGAAGCGACGAGGTTTATTTACAGCCACATCAAAGATCCATAATTTACGTATTCACTATGGTAATTTTTATCGTCTTTCGAATCTTTCTAATTGATATTCTGGGGGGGTAGGTAGGTACATATGTTTGGTATTGTTATTATGTTTGTGTAAGTGAACGATGATGGATGTTTGAGAATGCGGTTTTTTATTTGTACGAATTGGAATGAGACGAAGGGATGACTCTATTGTTTTGTTTTGACATTGTTGGTTACTTTAATTGAAATAAAAATTGACAATATGTGCTAATAATAATCCTTATAGCAATACAAAATATGCTATTATTTGTTTATCTGCAAGCTGTGGTTCAGTAAAAGTTTAAAACCTACTTTATGTAATGACACAATAAAGTCCAGTTTAGCCACAATACGTAGATTAAAAACTGTATCGATAGTCGTTAGTTTTTAATCTGGTATCGTTAGACTATAATACAATTAATTTGTATTCTATCATAATATATCAAATTAGCTTTTATTCCTTTTTATTGATGTAAATTCTACCCCTCTGTTCAAGGAAACCTCCCAGTTCTCCGTATCTACAGAAACAATAATATTATTGTTACATTGAGTTGTTTATTTAAGTTGATTCGCAGATATGTTTGCTTTGTTAGCAATGCGTTCTAAGAAAGCATTTAATAATATTATGTAAGTGTGGGAGAGCCATGCTTCGGCACGAATGGGCCGGCTCGACCGGAGTGATACCACGGCCTCACAGGAAACCGACGTGAAGCAACGCTTCCGTTGTCTTTCGACGTGTGAGCGAGGTTACCGGAGGCCCAATTACCCTCCCCTTCCCCAATTCCTGAATCCCCAATGATCCTCAAACTCCTAATCCCCAAAACTCACTTGTAACGCCTCTGGTGATCCAGTTGTCCATGGGCAACACTGATTGCTTACCATCAGGTGATCCGTCTGCTCGTTTACTGTCTTACGTCTTACTTAAAGAAATTTTAATACAGCTTTGTCTTGATAATCATTTAATTAATTTTCTTAAATGACTTCACAGAAAACAGACATAAATCAACGCTTACGTTGTGTTTCGCCATGTGAATGAGGTTACCCAACCCCAATCCTTGTAACGCCTCTAGTGTTCCAGGTTTGCATCGGCGACGCCGATTGCTAACCATAAGTTGATCCGTATGCTCGTTTACCGGCTTATACCATAAAAATAAGGTGGCATTAGACTTACTCAGAGTTCACTACATCGCGTAAAATACTCTACAGTACATTCAAGACCCAGTTTATTACTACTTATCATTGTTGATTTGGCAGTACCTAAATCATCAAGGTAGTTAAATATACAGCAATCTCAAGCTAATAATTTTCCACTCGAACAGAAAGCCAATCGATTACCAGACATCGGTCGACCTCACTTAACTTGAAAACTCCTTAATGGTGAAACTCTTATTCCTTGGAGTCCTCGCGTCTTTCATCGGTTGAATGGCTTTGAAAATTACCTGTAGCCTAGTGATGACGAACTATTGGTAAGTGTACCATTGATGGCACACAACAAATATCAGGCATATCATTGATTACATTTGTCCAAAGACTTTTTTTGGGGGAAAGAATCATACAATGACTTTTCCCGTCTTGGGTGAGGCGGGAGGGATTGTCAGACTCTTACCGACTAAAAAGTGCCCTGTTCCTATTTCTAAATAGAGCTGGTAACCCACTAGGTCGTCCGATCAGAAAAATGATGAAAAATGCAATATTGATACATAAAGGTTCTTCATCCCTGCCTGTAGCTAATGAAGTTTGTTACATTGTTACCTACCTTCTTAGGGCTTGTTAGCCTGGGTGCAAGCGAGTGTTAAAGTCTAATTGGTCCAGGATCCAGGTTGTTCTTTAGGTGGGCTCGCTGTCATTGCAGCGGTAAGTCCCCTCTTTGAGGAGTGGCTTGAGAGACGCTACGGCGTCCTCACCTACCGCCTGACGCAGGTGCTTACCGGACACGGAAGTTTCGGTAGGTTCCTGTTTCGGATTGGGCGGGAGGAAACGCCCGGGTGTCATCACTGCGAGGATCGCCCGGAGGACACGGTGGAGCATACGGTGGCGGTGTGTCCTGCGTGGACTGAGCACCGCCGTGTCCTCAGGAATGTGATCGGCGACGGCGACCTCTCGCGTCCGGCTCTGGTTCAGACCATGGTACGGAGCGAGGGG